CTATACACCCACTTCCCAGATGGCACCCTCCCATAGCCTCCCTCCCCATACTAGAGCCCTTATACTCTGATATCCCTGCTACTGTCTGCTGTGTTGTCGGCACCCCAGCCATTCCCCACTACTTGCCCTTCTGGTGAATCTAGTCAGCCTATCTAGAGGTCTTTGTTTTAGGAAGATCAGCTGTTCTTCATCTAGCAGCAATCAGTTGTCAATATTCAATATTAGATAAGATTGGGGTCTGCTGTTCATTTTCCTTGTTCTATGCTGGGTTACTGTCTGGGAGTCCCTTGGGCCACCTTGGTCAACAACTCAAAAGAAGGTATCTCCTATTTGTCATTGTTGCTTGTTATGTAGCCTTTAGCTATGCATATGGACTCTTAAAAAATTATACTGGCCCCTTTAATCTTTGAGACCCTACAAGTGACCCAGATATACCAATTTATTTTTACTCTTAAGGTCATTTGAGGATCTGTTTCTCAGGGGTAACATGGGCTTGGGAGGAGTCCCTGGCTCCCTTCTTTTACCAGTTCCGTCTACGTGAAGATAAGTCAAAGGTCCTGCTCCACCATGGATGGCTTTGCTTGGAAGCATGGAGGAAATAATTCCTCTGTGTTGACCCTCCTCTTTGTAGACTGCACACTGGTTCAAATCCACCTGGTGGGGTCTCCTCAGCCTCCTTGATCAAGAGGACAGGTGACCCACCAAAATTACAGGACACTTTGAGAGATGCTCATAGTCCCCCTGGAACTAGTCGACTTAGGAGGGCAAGGAGCAAAAACTGTCCTTTATGTCCCCCTGACCAAATTAGTATAGGCCTCAAAGTATGGCTGTTAAACATCCAAGAACATTAGTTCTACCAGTCTGGTACTTTTAATTACCATATGCCATGTAGCTAGAGCTTGGGAAAAGACCAAAATCTCTCAGATAAACCTTACCTAGACATATATTTCCTGATCTGCTATGTATAATTTGTCAGAAGATTGTTGGAGTAACATAGTTCCCTCTGGTTTTTTTAAAACTAGCTAGGCATTATTTATCTCTTGCATTGTCTCACCCCTCCATCATGGTTTTCCCACTTAAGGTGCCCCCATTTCCCCCCTTTCTCCCTTAATAGTACCCTTCTCCTATGGTCCTACCTCTCTTGAGCTCCTTCTTTCCCTTTATCCCCTAGGTTCCTTGTATACCCTTCCCTCCCCCCTCCCTTAAACGAACCCATTTTTTATCCATATCTCCCTTATTAAGATCTGTTTCCTACTGTTCTTCTCCTTCAGGTTCTTTCTTTTCCTTTTCCTCCCTGTTTCCTTTCATTATCCTGGTTCCTGTAGTTATGTCTGGATACATACTCACTTATCAGGGTTTGGTTCTAGGATCTACATATGAGGCAGAACATATATCGATTTTTTTTCTGAGTCTGTGTTACTTCACTTCGTATAAACAGTTTCTAGTTCCATCCATTTACCTGCAAATTTCATGATTTCATCTTTCTTTTCTGCTGAGTAAAACTCCATCATATAAATGAACCATATTTTCATTATCCACTGTTCAATTAAGGGACACTTAGTTTGCTTCCATCTCTTTAGCTATCGTGAAAAGAGCAGCAACAAACATGGATGTGCAAGTGTTTCTGCAATAGGATGAGTTTTTTGGGTATATGGCAAGGAGTGTTTTAACTGGGCCAAACGGTAGGTTCATTTGTAGGTATTTAAGAGTTCTCCACACTGCTTTCCATAGGGGTTGAACAAGTTTGCAGCCCTGCCAGCAGTGGATGAGTGTTCCCCCTTCCCCACATCCTCTCCAACATTTGTTATCATTTGTTCTCTTGATGTTAGCCAGTCTGACTAGGGTAAGATGAAATCTTAAAATGGTTTTAATTTGCATTTCCCTAATTATTAGTGACGTTGAACATCTTTTAAGATGTTTCATAGCCATCT